TTTAACCTAAGTAACAAAACAAATAATAACTACTTAAAGAAAAGGAAATAGGTGCTCAATTGATTGTATTCAAACTATGAATTCCATTAATGCATAACTACTAAATAATATTTTCATTTGTAGGAAATCAATATGCATCGCATGTTGACCAGGACTAAATTACTGATTATCTAAATAAATCATATTTGAACTCATGATGTGATTTGTATTGCATTTGATCACCTTTATACTCATGCCATTGTCCTTGCCTTTTATTTATATTTTCAAGGTGTAAAATTCTCTTGATTATATCAGTGAAAATATATAAAATCTTTTACAAAATTAGTCAAATTCATTTACAAAAAATTATTACTTTTAGGAGAAACTATGTATTAATTGTAGGAATAGTTTATTAATTTTCTAGACAACATAACTACTATATCAAAAAGGTAAAAAATATCTTGATTTTATTGTGCTTTAATTTGGAGTACTTTTATCAGTGATAATAGGAATAGTAAAATAGGTGCAAATTGCAAAATAACAGGGAATGTATACATGATAATAAGAACCTTTTAAGTCGATCAGACTAATATAATAGATGTATGCTATAAACTAATTTTAATAAATTAGTCTTAAAAAATATATGCCATAAACTAGTTTACCACAAACATTTATTAAAACTAGTTTTAAGTAGTTTTACATGTAAAATAATAGCAATAGCATGTCAATTCTCAGACCAATGGAACTTCAATTCTTGTTAATAACTCTAATTTTACACTGATAAAAATTAGTCTCGAAAATGAAATGTCAATGGCAACAATTGCTAAAAAATAACAATTTTTTAAATTTTGAGTTTCCAAAATATTTCACTTTTATTTTTCAAAAAATCTCAACTTTTTAATTAAATTCAAAATAATTCTATTATGAAAAATATTATTTCTCAAATTAACATCAATGATTAGATGTGAGATACAAATATGAAAAAAAAAAAGAGAAACAAATATGGTAAAAATATCTCTCATACATATGTCATGGATATTTGAGACTTTTGGCCAAAAAAATTTGATGTTAAATAATATGGTATTAAGAAGGCTAACTATTTTAAAATCATTTTATACATGAACTAAATTTAATTTAATTTATATAATAGAATATATGTGCATGTGATTTTCATTTAGTGGTTGGATCTCATTTTTACGAACAGTCTCTTAGAAAAAAAGTCCAGATTATACTAATTTTGTTATACTAATTCTATCAATTTTATTGTTATATTAATTATTATACTATTTCTCTCATTTTATTAGGTGCATATTAATACAAGTTTAACTCTTATTAATTCTTGCATCCTAGACAATAAATTTATTAAAACTTTATCATGTTATTATATTCATAGGTATTAAATTATAGAAAATATATAGACAATTGATATTCTATATATAATGCAGACACCAAAATTTTAATTTTATTTAATTCAATTTCAATTTCAATTTTTATTTATTTTATTCTTATTTTTATTTTATTTTATTGAACCAAAGTTCGCAAAATGATAGTTAGCAATTTTTGAATAAGGTTCATCTTCTTTAAAAAAAATAATAATAAATAAAACAAACATTTTTTGCATTAAATTTCCGAAAAAAGAAAAGTGTCACAAAAATTTGTTTTTAATCTTTTCAAATTTAATTTTTTCAAAATAAATGAAAATTTGCAAGGCAATTTCAAGTAGGAGTTTAACATTTTTTTTACCCTAAATTTGTTTTGAAAAATAAAATTAAAAAAAAACAAAAATAGGTGGATTGCATGCAATATAGTTAGGTGAAATGTATGCAAATGAGCCATGTGATTTTGGTTTTTGGCACACCAACACATGCCAAAGGCTAGGTGGCAAGACAGGTATAGAGTTAGGAAAAAATCTGGAACAAAAGAGGAAATGGGGAGGAGAGCTTCGGGCAGTGGGGGAAAGCAAGAGAAAAAGGAAGAAAGGGGTTTCGGGCAGAAAAAGAGAAGGGGAAGAAAAAGAAAAGAGGGGAGAAAGAGAGGAGGAGGGAGGAATCTGGGGAGATCAGGAGAGGAAAAAGAACGAAAAATAGAAGGAAAAAGGGAGCTTGGGGAGAGGAAGGAAAAAACGGGAGAAAGCTTCGGAAAAAGAGAAAGAAAAGAAAAAGAACGGGAAGAAACAAGAAAAAGGGAGAATCTGGGGAGAGTCTGGGGAGGATCAGAAAGGGAAACGAAAGGCAAAAGAAAGAAAAGAAGAGGAAATCAGGGACGGAAGGAAAATTTTTTCTGCTGGAAAAATTTCAGATCAGGCTGACCGACCAGCCTCTTTCCTGATCAATTTATGACTTCATTTCTGGTTGTTTGAGCGAGTTCTTTTTTTCTACACCGTCTCTGGATATCCATGAACAACTTTTGCTAAGAAATCGTGCAGCAAAAATGTCTTCAACCCTCTCAAAATAACGAGGTCGTTATCGCTGAAATTTCTGCAGCAAAAACCTCTTGAACTTCGTTTCCAGATTGGCGTGATCTCTTGGAGGATTTTCACGTTCCTTCTACTTTACGAAGGGTTCAAGGTAACCTCAGTTTCTCTCTTGGGTGCTTTAACACTATTTTTCATGAGAATCCAAGTGCATAAGCTGTGAATCTTGAGTTGTTTGTCAATATGTGATAACCATGACCGTACCTTTATCATTTAGATCGTCATGCACATTGGTTAAACGCTGGTCTTTTCATCATTTGCTGTGTTTTGTTAGTCTTTGATGTGTTTGAGAAAGGAAAATGAAAGAATCATGGTGCTAATCTTACAACTATGAAGCAAGATCTTCATTTTTTTTCCCTTTGTTATCTTGCCGTTTCTCTGGTTTGAAACCTGGGTTGCATGATCTTGTGATGGGCTTTGAATCATGTGTTGGATCACTAAAATGTCATTTTTATTTATCTCTGAAAGTTTTGCAACTCATGATCTGAGTTATGTCTCGGAACTTTGTTTGGACTCCATGAATGAAAGATGTTTTCTTTGCGAATCTGGTGGGGGAGGTGGAATTTTGAATCTTTGATCTTGTGTCATTGCATGGTTTCTTGTTGGGTTAAGGTTCCTGTGGATGGATCCGCAAGAGTTCATGGCTGTTCTTTGGTTTCCTTTTTGCGTGATCTGGGTTGGAAATCTTTAGGAATGCAGAGTATAGGGTTGGGTCTTAATGATAGAATGCATATCTTGTTGTTTTGGGTTGAAAGATTGTTGTTTGTTTGGACTTTGCTACTTGCGTTCGACATAAGAAGCAAAGCTGCAGAAGAATTGTTGCAGAGGAAAGAAAGCTTCGAAAGCTGCATGTTTTTTTTTAGAAATTAGATTTTGACCCCCGGATTTTTGCTTAAATGTACTATGGCTCAAAAATATGGAAATATCAATCAATTTTACACTTTTGAAATTCAATCATTTTCTTATGCTTTAACCATGTTTTAGATAAATTTATTTTCTGGTTTTAGGAGATAATTAGAGCTTAATTAGTTTTTAAGAGCTTTATTTTGCTTTGATTGTGACCTCTAAAATTTTGTAATAATAATAATTTGACCCTTAAAACTTTTTATAATTATTTCAATTAGGTCCTTGCTTGTTTTAATTTCTTGAATATAGGTTGTTTACTTTCATTTAAAAGCTTTAATTGTTCAATTTCATAATTATTTCCATTTCTTTACATATTATTGCTGTTATTTGTTAATTAAATTGGTACATTAACTACTTTGTTGATTTTTGGAGTTTTAAATAGGGTAAATCCAAACCCAATTAGCTACTACTTCAAGGGAAGGTGTGACGACCCCACCTTCTTTTAGGGTGTACCCTAAAGGTTAGCGGATCGTCTGTCTGACTCTCACCAGAACTCATTAATTTTCACATTAACTTCAGAGATAACATCTTATGCTAAACATCCAAACATCCACTCTTTATACTATACCAAACTCAAAACAAAAGATTTGACTATTTCAAGGTACCAAAGAAACCATGACTACAATATATATACACACTAACGGATCTTCCAAAAATAACTTATATGATCATTCTTCAATCTCCAATTCCTGTAAGGAAAACAAAGCTAAAAGGCTGAGCTAAAGTTCAGTGAGGTTTGACAAAAAAGTAACATTCAATAAACACTTAAACCAGTAAAATTAAGCGAGTAATAAAATTAAACAACTAAGGAGCACTTCACTGAATGAATTAGAGAACACGTCACTGAGCAATTACTTTTAAAAGGATTCGGTGTTTGCATTAGAGCCACTTTCAAAAGGATACAAACTCCTCTTGGGAGTCATGTCAAAATCATTGCACACTCCACCAATTCACCTCCCTATGTCCTCCAAAGCAATAAACAATCTCCTACATTCAATAATTAGTTCAATAATCTCCAACTTTAGGGTAATACTCGAGTATACCGAAACAGTTACCCAAACCTTCTGTCCTATCTGACCAAGCCCTTTGCTGGCTTGAATAGTCCGTTGAACAGAGGATTTTGGGGCCCAGTTTAGCCGATGTGGTAAAGTACACATACGGCTTACATTCATGCACACTTACAGTAACATTTGATCAATTATCAATCTTCAAGTTCAACTAAGTCGAGTGCAATAAAGTACACTCCCAACTTAGAAGGCGAGGGACAATTGAGATACACTTCACAATGAATCACTAGCAATATTCCATAATAAGCACATTTATCATATAATTTCACTTAAGTAAACATAAACAGTTAAACACATAAATTCAGAAACACTCACCAAATATCCAAATGAACTACTCTCGAGTCTCGAGTTTGTTTCCTGGCTCACAGCTACTTCCTGGGACAAGTTAATAATTCCAAAGCAAATACGTAATTTGTAGATGTTCACTTATTATTTATTACCCTATTATTTGAGCTATTAAAATCAAGTTTGACTTTTTAAAAAAAAAACTAGCTTTCTTTTATTTATTCCAAGGCAACGAGAAGCAGATACAATAGGTTTAGAGAATAAACTGACCGAGCCTTACCACCTACCGCCTAACAAGGCACTAGTCTAAGGGACGGGAATTCCCTAGCGTCCATAGCTAGGCAGCCGCGAATCTCCCTCGGTAGCTGTTGAACAGAGTCAAAAACCATACTAGGATAACCTTGCAGAGCCGCTAACCTGTCTGCAGCCATATTTGCCTCACAAAAGATGTGGATAAATGACACAGACACTTGATCCAAAAGTCGACGAATCTGTCTCAGCAAATTGCAATGCGACCAACCCCCCAGAGCTGACGATTTGACTAGTGACATAAGAACCGCAGAGTCAACCTCCACCAACACTTCCTGTACCCCCTTTGCCGCGCACACTCGCAACCCTTCCAGTACTGCTAGTGCCTCAGCTTGCAAGACCCCCTTCTCCCCAAACTCCTTATAAAACGCGAAAATAAGTCTACCCTCCAAGTCGCGCAATACCCCTCCTCCACTCATCCTTCCATTGACCATGCTAGCATATGTGTTTAATTTATATCGCTGAGTTGGAGGTTTAGTCCATGTAACTACCACTGCTTGCCATTTATGGGCGACTGAACGAGCCAAGCTTGCCCAATCACTCTCCATGTCTCCATAGAACTATGCCTTCTCAAATTTCCTCGCTCTTCCCAAGTCATGTATGAAGTTAACCACTTCTCGGATCACCCTCTGAGCTGAAAAGGCTTGCCCTTCAAACCTCACCTTATTCCGACCCTGTCAGATGAACCAAGATACCAGTATCGGAAGGATACATCTGATATGATGTGCAGGGAGGCGAGGCAGTGACGTGGCCCATTTCATCCATAGTAGCTGAAGATCCTCAAGCGGAAAGCGAAGTATGCCAAACCTATTACCAAAATGCCCCCAAACCTCCCGTGCCGTTGGGCCATTGACAAACAGGTGGAGCACCGATTCCTCATCCTCAAGACAGCAGGAGCATCTGAACACCGAGGGCAACCCTCTCCGACGGAGCACCGAATCCAAGGGAACACAGTTCCTTAACAGTCTCCAAGCAAAAATAGACATCTTCAGCGAGACACCCCTATTCCAAACCATACCATGCATTGAGAAGCCGCCTCGATGTTGCTGACATAGCTCCCAAGCCGAGCTTAGCGAAAAGCACCCCTTTGCTGACCGTGCCCACATGACCCGATCCTGCCCCTCCATGTCGAAAAGGATGTCCAAAATCGAATCAACGAGGTGATCCGGAAGCCATTGCAGGAGCCGGTCCCTATTCCACCCTTCCCGTCCCAAGAACTCTGCCACCAAAAAGTGAGGGCTGCCCCTATTTGCTGGCACCAATGTACGGAGGGGTCCAAGCTCACACCAAGTGTCAAGCTAGAAGTCCACCATACCCGGTCCCAGACTCTACGAAATGTGGGCCTCCTCCATCTCTCAAATACCAATTAGGCGCTTCCATATACCCTTCGGTTTGGCCACCGCTACCTGAAGTGGGTGTTGGTCTCCGATATACTTAGAGAACATAAAGTCCGACTAGATGGATCCTCTTTGACGCGGTCTCCACCATAACTTATAAGAGAAGACTTTGACCATGTCGTCCAATGACCTCACCCCCAATCCACCCTCCTCCGTGGGGAAGCACATCTTCTCCCCCAGTCCTGTGCTTTTTCCCAGAAGAAGGAGTTAAATATTCTCCCCAATGCAACTAAGACTGCCTTGGGGGGTTTAAGCACCTGCAGCAGATACAATGGCATCGAATTCAAGACATGTTTTAGTAGAATTAATTTCCCCCCGGTGGACAGCAATCTCGTGCTCCAGTGGCAGACACACACCCTCACCTTTGCAATAATCCCGTCGAAGGCAATTGAAGAACACCTACCCTGAGAAATGGGAACCCCAAGATAGACTAGTGGAAAGAACTGTCATTGAAACCTCAGAATGTTAGAAACAAGATCTACTTGCACCTCAGGCGCCCTTGACGGACACACAAAGCAACTTTTGGCTGCATTAATCTTTTGACCGGAGTACTGCTGGTATTGCTTGAAGAAATCGCCAACTGCCTCTAAGGTTTCTTGTGACAGCCTCGTGAACACAAAGACATCGTCCGCGAAGGGCAAGTATGGAACTTTAAGGCCTCCAGCCTGAAAAAATCTATGGCGACCCTGCTGGAACAAGGCATTCAACCCCCTCCCAAAGAACTCAGCAACTAGGACGAATAAGGCTGGAGAAACCGAATCTCCCAAGTTTGACTTTAAAATTCAAAATATAATATATTTACTATTAATTCTACATTTTATCTCGAAACTTATTGACTTTATCATTTTAACCAAGAAATATACATATGTTCTAAGATTATAATTTATAAATATTTAAATTAGGATTAAACTATTTTCCACTCAAGATTCAAAGATTCAAGCTTAGAAACACTCCATTGGTTCCCTTTTAAACTAGCCCGATTCTAAGCTGTTTGTAAATTAAATTTTATTGCACTACACCAGCCTCTCAAGTTTTATAATCTTAGAATGCTTGTGAAGACAAGATTAAGTGATTAGAAGCCATTTTATGTATATAGCGATAAGAAGTTACCTTAGAGTCTCTAAAAACATCATAGAAAGCTTAACTCGTCACCATTTCAACAAACGAAATTCCCGCAATATTACTTTAAATTTTCAGCAAAACTCCATCTTTCACTTGCTTAAAGCACTAAGTACTTAATATACATTTGGTCCAGCATAAACCAGGGCAAATAACACCTAGTTTCAGCAATTTATTCGATAAAAAGACACACACCTAATATGTCATCAGCAATTGCATTAGTCACTAACTCTTTTAGCAATATAGCAGCTTGGTTTACAGCTTTTTCCTCCCTAATTTCTTCAGTTTAACTCCAACTCATTGAGCCAAATATAACTATTAAACTGCAGAGTAGCCTTAAATATCAGATATGAAAGTTTACAGAGTTGGAGTTTGAAAGAAAAGCTGATCAGGAGTTTATGTCTCCCTCTCGGCCCTCTTAGCAGATTTCATCAGCTTTCTTCGCCAAATATAGCTAGGATTTCCGAAGTTTTTATTAGTTTCAAAGGCAAATATCTGTTAAGACAAGAGATTAAACATATCTCCATGCATTTGTTGGAGTTGTGTTTCCAAAATACCAAACAACAAGTTGCGTTTCTGTTCTCATCTTGTCGACACAACATTTTCCAGCAGGTAAGTAGTTACTAAACAAATTTTCCTTTAGCAGTACTCACCATCATCTAACATTCATCAAGTACGTTGGAATTAATGTGTTAGGAGGTGTTTGAACCACGGAATAAGATTCTGCAACCAAATTCTATAGAGAAAGCTGGAGAATTTCCATCTTTCCTCCTTCGGCCAGCTTAGCAAAACTTCCAACTAATTCTTGTAAAACTCTCACTCAAGTTATCAACTCTACTTTAGATTCTCAGATAGAGCAAGAGTGTAAACATATAGCTTGAATTCTTAGACGAAAATTGTTCCATAATCTCGAATAATAAGCTACATATCCAGTTCCTTTTCTCTCGAATGAAGCAGCAGGTTTCTTTCTTTGTTTTCAACTCAAAGTTTCAACTCTCACAAGTTTCTATAGCTAAACTTCACTTAATGCCAGAAATAAACATTTTCATGCATTTCCTATAATATTCTGCCATTTTTCCATTGATAACAAGCTGCAATTCAGTTAACCATCTCTCGGTTCCAACAGATTCAGTCCAGCTTCAATTTTATTACTTCATCAGATTTTTCCTTGGTTAAAACTTATTTTTCTTTGCTAAAAACTAACATGCAGCACATATATTCAGTTATACTCAGTAAATGAAGGAAGGTTACCAAGAATTTTACCTTTTTCCTTTAAGTTTTAACGGTTGCCGACTGCTCCTAATCTTAGCCTCGGTTCCTCAACTCTTGCACCAGCTATCTCTCCCGTTCCTTGCGTTCGTTTGTTTGTTTATGTTTAGCAGCTAATGGAGTTAATCAGCTTCCTCTCCTCACCTCTAGTTCCACTCTCCAGATAGAAAGAATGAAATAAAGAAGGAAAGAAAGAAAAGTCAGGGGCTGCCTGGTATCCTCTTCTTGTCACCGCCCAACTAGTGCACAAATGAATTTCTTAGCTCCTCTCATTCGGTCACTGCTTACTCAGCAATTTTGGTAGTAAGTTCCCTACTGGTAGCTGTCTAAATAGGAGTTACTCACCGCCCCAAACTGTCAGACAATTTCTACTCTTTTTCCTTTCCACCACTTGAACTTAGCAGACGGTTATCTAGCTTCCAGTAGGTTCTAATCTCTCCAAGTATTTCCTCTCTCGGTTCTTGTTTTGTGAAATTCTGACAGCTTGCTCCTTGGCTGCATGGTAGTTAATCTGAAATTTAAGATTGGTTTGGTCTTTTAGTTTTAGCCTATTTACGCACTAAGGGCTGAAATTTTATGATTTCTTGCATGGACTCCGAACTTCATTTGTTCCAATTTATATATTTCTATAAAAAAATTTTCCACCATTCTAGGATATTTCTAAATCCTCAATTTTATAAAATTTTCAATTTAGACATTTAATTTGACCAATTATTTGTTATTTATAATATTTCTAATTACAGATTAAATGTAATGAAATAAATTTGAAGTGTACACATAAATTTCCCGAGTTCTCACAGGAGGTATTTTCTTTTATTATTTAAAATCTTTTATGTGCTCCTACGTATTGTATGTATAATTGCATGGCTTAAGTGTTTTATTTATTTATTTACTTGTTTTACTTTAAGTTTTATAAATTTAATTTTGATGATTATTTGAGAGGCAATTAAATGCCAAATTGTAATAGTTAGGTTATTATTTTATTCTTTACCCCTTTAGATTATAGTTAGGGCTCCGAATGTAATAGTTAGGTCTCTATTCGCTTTTATTTGCTTGCATGCTTGTGTGTTTATATGTTTACTCGCTTTCTTAGGGTCGTTGCATCTAGATATCATGCTTATGTGCTATGTGTTCTATGTGATTTATGTGTTTACTTGCTTTATTATATTTTATATGATTTATTTGATTTTAATAAATGTATGACATCACTACACTAGTCCAACGCTAGTTGTGACCTTTTTTTTTATTTTTCACCAGTCCAACGCTAATGAGAACTCATAAACATGGGTTAATCCAACGCTAGACCCTTAGGGATCGTCTACGCACTAGATCCTTACTATTTTGCATGATATTTCTCCTCTATATATATATATATATATATATATATATATCCCCTATACCTATGTGCGAAATATGACATTTAAACTTTCATTCCATTTAAGGAAATTAGGAGTAGATTAGTGCAGTTACTTGATTGAATTAGGGAAATCACCCTTCAAATATGAAATATGGACGAGTATGGCTTCTTAGCCTTAACACGCTCGTATCCCCTCTATAAAAAGGAAAATCTAGTTACGAATCTTAGTTCCCGGCACCAGTTATGTTGCATTCCTCTTTTTTTAGATCACGTATAGATATTATAATTTTTCTTTTCTTCGAGTCGCACTCTTTGCATATTCGTGACCTCTTCTAAGAGTAAGTTTGGATATCACAGTTAATGTGATTCGCCCCAATTAAATTTTGAAAAGATATTTCGACCCTCT